TATGCACTTTCACTTCTAATACAGATCACATATATTCACATATTTAAGCTTTACATCGAACAAGAAACCTAACGCAATATAACGAAACTTTTTCCGTTCTCTTTATTTTTCTTTTTTTCATTCTGTTTTTTTTGACGATGAGAAACGAAGAAACATCTGATCGAAGCTATAATTGCGATATATCGTTCTTAGCTACATGTTTTTGAATGAAAGTAATAAGAAAAAGGACACCAGAAGAGAAACATATGGTTTTCTTCTTTCATTATTTCCAGCTGACATTTTTCGTTCTTCAGTTAAGGTCAATACGATGAAGAACAAGTAATATAAGAATAAGAAAATGTTTTGTCAGCCGTTGGGTCATAATGTTCCAATAGATGTAATAAAAAACAAAATAAAGCAGTAATAAAATTAGTCCGAGCCACTGGCTCTGTTTTCATGCTGTTCTTGATCCACCTCATCTTCCACATCACTAAGGAAATAGCCAGCTTCTTCTTCATCTTCGTTATCTACCTGTATATGTATTTCTTTCTCGGATATAAACAGTCCTTCTTCAAATGTATCAGATAAGTTCAACTTTTGAAATTCTTCTAATATCGATAAGACGGAAGACTTCGGTAGACGTAGCAAGATCTGATTCATTCGTTTCCGGATGATAAATTTAAAATAATTGCCTTGCTTGTTTGAGACACGGAAGAAATCTGTTGTTAACAGATTTCCTCATTAAAAAAGGACTAATTTTCATTGTAGTTTTACTATGGAATTTTACCGTTCAAATTAGACTCAGACACACGATTGCCCTATCGAATACCATATGAAACTCAACAGTCTGATTGTATCCCCAAGAGCTATCAGAATATAAATCAGAAGTTGTTTCCTTTCAAATGTTCATATGTCTGTGAGTTATCTTAATTTTGTAAAACAAATATTTTCACGTACATACAAATGAAAAATATATTTATTATACTCTATTCAACTGTAACACAACTTAGCTGATAACAAAAGAAGGGAATCATTAATTCGTAAACAAACTGTGATGAATCCAATGATTTCTTTTACTCTTACACCACAAACATGGCCAAATGGATCGTACGGCTGCTAAGCTCATGATGATAGCCGACATCTTGTAGTCTCCACTATAAGAGAATTTCAAATTGAATTCATACATTTCGAAGCCTTTAAGTGGGATTGTAATAACTTGATCAGGTTTGAACATGTTGATGAATCCTTTTGTCAAATATTTTTCAACATTAAGACGATTTTCTTTTGGAAAATGCAGTAATGCCAGAAGTACGAGACTTGTTGCACCTTGACCTTCTGCACCAGCATCCACCCATCCAAGACACGATGCAAAGCAGTTAAGGTAAGATCCGATCCATGTTCCGTCTTGAATGAGCCGAAAATGGAGATCACGATTATCTGTTTGAATTTTTCTTCTCAATGTATCTTGATTCGTTGCCACCAATAACATAACTGCATGTTTCACATGCACGTATGCACCGAATTCAGTTGTATGGATTGGAATTTGCTCACCGTATAAATCTTTCAGTTTATTGACAATTTTCAGAGGCGGTAAACGTACTTTGTATAATTGTTCAAGATCGTAAATTTCTCTCCAAGATTGGTTGGAAATTGAATATTCTAATTTGGCGAGAAGAAATTTTGAAAAATATTTGTTTCATATTAATCTCAGTTCCTTGATATTTTTCGGCTTTAATTCTTCGTCTATAGAGTCTTCTGGTGAATTTGAGCTGTTGTCTTCTGAAACACTTGACATGGATGTTGTGTCCGCTATAGCAGACATTGATACATTCATTGAAGTAACGGTTTGCAACATAGACGGATAATTTGTCTCTATTGCCGTTGATTTATTTACAAGGTCAGTTGTTTGTAATAACTGAAGATATTGTTCTCTTCTCATTCTCTTTTCATTCTAAATTTCAAAAAAAATTCCTTTTGCCTATCAGCGAAAACGTTGGAAAGTCTTTAGGCAAATTCTTTTACGGTCTTTTAATTTTTTTGCATCATTCATAGAGAATGGCGAATTAAGAAGGGAGTGTCCCATCCGGTTTTTTTCACCACTTTGTAGAGGATACTTCGTACGTGTCCTGAAGTTTGCTCAGCTTATTTACGTTATTTAACCGAGAAAAAATGAATTACTTGCTATGTTTTTGGAAAACAAATATTATGTTGAAATTTCCAGTGGAATAAAAACAGACTTAATGATATCCTGTCTTGTAGCTTGCGAAATTCTCTATCAGATGAGTGATTGCTTGAATTTTTTCGCTAAGTCGTTATTTTACAAATGGGACTTTAACCTAGTAGAGTAGGCTAAATTAATGTTAATTACTGTCCATTAAAGTAGTATTAATTAATCAATAACAGGAAGGAAAGAACAAAACGTTTTACATATTTTCTCATATTAAATATGCTCTACACATTTCTCTATCGATCTAGGCAGAACCAAGTAATTACGATGAATAGAGAATGGATAGGAATTTTTTTAATAATATGCTAAAAAATTTATCAACATTTTTTTAAGTAGTAAATTTTTTTCTGATGTAAATAATGTAAGTAAACTGAGAAAACTTCAGGATATATCCTCTACAAACTGAGAACCTTTGAGGGAAATCTAAAGGGGGGGAATCCCTCATTAAACTAGCGCAAACTTTATGATGTCTGTTATGCTCATGGTTTTCAACACTTTTTTTAGTATACCTTTTCTGAACGTCGTCTTGTAACTACATTCATTCTGCCCATTTTCTCTTGAGCGATTTGAAATGTGAATGACATCAGTTCTGTTGGATCAATTTGATTCATTCTTCTAATTGTTCTGAAGGCAGTGATCAGTCGCATCTTCAAGTGATGACTAAGAATTTTCTTGTCGACTTGATCATGAATGTGTTTTTCTTCTAATAAATAATTGATTCGATCGAGTAATAGATTTAAATTGACTGTGAGTATCCCACCATTGTCATTCACTAGAACTGTGGCTATATGTAACGGCAGTGAGATGCGTCCATAAGGGCACAGTGGGCATTTTTTGCTAGAGCAGGCGGACTTTAGCTTTATGAGTGAACTAAAATTTCATGAACCATTTTTTTATAGGTTTTTCATGATCCTCTTTCTAATGGCATGAGAGTTGGGCTTTG